ACAACGTAAATAAAGATATGTAAAATTTTATTTCTTTTATTACAAAATAATCCAAATGCACATAAGGGCTTTACCAGAGAAAAGAAAAAAATGGTTTAACCTAAAATATTTCATGAGAATTTGATCATTTGTCCACTCAGAAAAGTGACTATATTAACTATATAGCCCCTTATTTTCTTAATCTTTACCTTCCCTTTTGAGTAGAACATCTACTTAACTGGGTATATATATTATCCTTAATTGGTCACTTTGACAATTATAGAGCTACATTTTTCCCCTCAGTTCTAAGACAAAATGTTCTTCCAACTTTCTTAGTCTGCTGTAAGCACGACTCTATTAAAAAATTATATTTCTTAATTTAATCACAGGTTGCTATAAAAATAATTATGACTTTATTTGCAAAGGCAGATTTTATGGCAAGAGTGCATTGTTTATTTTTAGAAGAAACAAAATGTCTTTGTAAATCTTAAATATACTTTATTATTTTTTAGAAAATTATTTCAATTGTCTATTATTCTTTTCTTTCTATATTTAAACTAACTTTTGTGTCTTTTTCATTGAAATATGTGTGTGTGGAAATGTGCATAAAATTAACTCATGTGTGTCAGTTTATTATGCAGTTAATACCTAAAAATTCAGGTCCAAGATATCCTCATCAGACAGGTGCATAAAAAATGATGCATGGTTTCAGGAACATTTTTAGATAATATTTTCTTATTAATTCCATTTATATTGCTCTAATTACTTTGGGACAATGAGACCCTAGGTGAATCACTTCCAGAATGAAAGATATTCTTGTACTGTTTGTAAAAATTGTTTGAAGAGACCCTAATATAGTCATGAAATTAATCCAACTTGTAATATTTTAGGTGTTTGTAAAGTCAATAATTATTGAACATTTATTGTCTTTCCATCTATCTTGACATATGGTTATGCCCTGCATGATTGAATTGAGAAATTAATTCATTGGTTAAATCTTGGTTGTGACGTTAGCTTCTTTATGACCTTACATGAGCCAGCTTACATTTACATGAGCAAACTAATCTCTGCTTAGTTTAGGGATGATTATAATCTTTGTAATTGGAAATCCCAGAAATGAGTCAGAGCATGTGAACTACAAGAGATTATTAAGGCAAAGTATTCTCACCAAGATTTTGTAAGATGTTTTTCCTCTCGTTGATCTATGAAAGCCAAAACTGAGAACACCTTGAAACTATGCGCGGTATATTCTCTCTAGAGTGACTAAGTAAGCTCCGAGAATGATTCGTATCTTTGGTATTAGTGTTGCTCCATTTGGCCTCCGTTGCTGTCTCTCTCAGACATCTCTCGTCACAGATGTGATTGCCTTGGACAGCCAAGTATTTCTGATCCCTGCATAGGTCAGACACATAAAACGGTAATCCAGAAATGGCCTATGTCCATTAGCTCTAGAGATGTCTCTCTAGGCTAAGCGGTCTGGCCCCATGTTTGCTCCCTCTGCCAACTGTGGTCTCTGCTCTTGGGCAATGGGAAGGATTATATTTCTCTTCCTTAAGTAAGAGAGCCACTTCTTGATCTGAGTCCAAGATGAAAAGAGTGATACCTCCATGACACTGCTCTGTGACACTTCCCAGAATAGTAATGATCCCCACCCCTTCAGGTTCAAGGACTTTTCATACTCAGTGCTGCGGAGACTACTCATGCAGACAAATAATTGGTTTGGGTGACACAGAAGATGACAGCAAATAGACTTTTTGATAAAGAGAGGCTGTAGAAAGACACCGCTACTGGTACCCTAGTAAAATCATGACCAGAAGAGATGACAAAGTATAGTCTACATGTGCTATTACTCTCAATAAGCTGCACAACTTCTACAATTTTCCTCAAAATATAGACCAGAAGAGGTTACAGTCCTTGGAGGGCAGAAAACGATATTCTTTTGCTCTTCTCTTTGAGTATTCTCTGGACTTCCTACTGTAGTTTCTGTGTTCTTGACCACAGCGAAACACTCAAGGTCAGGTGATCGTATTAGGCTATGTATCAGATTCATTCAGTGCTATGATGAAGGTAGGTAATAACTGATTTATTTCCTCCCTGATTTTTATCAGTGGATTAAAAAACATTGCTGGAAATTAAATGTCAAGTACATAATAATTTGGGTCATTGGATTCTCCTAGTACTTGTAAAGATGTTTCCTTTAATTCGCAGAGTTGCTAACCATAAAATATGTGACAAAAGTAATGGTGTTGTCAAGTTAACAGTTAAAGAAAGAAGAAATGATGAAATCATTTTTCTTTTCAAAGGTTGTTGATTTCAGGGACCATGAATTATTTAAGAAGATTTTCTTCAATAATGACACTGGATGTTGTAGTTGTGTTTTCTTGAATTTTTTAATGCCTATGCTTATTAGCATAGTAAACTAGAAATTTAAAATAATATAGGTTTCACTTAAGAGTATGGTCTCAAGGCCCATCTATTTAGCTATAAATGTCTCAAGTTTATCCATCTTTATGGCTGAGTAGCGTTCCATTGTAGAAAAAAACTCACATGTTTTTATCCACTCATTGGTTGATGGGCATTTGGATTGTTTCCAAGATTTAGCTATTACACACTGTGCTGCTGTAAACATAGGTATGCATATATACCTGTGGTTTGAATTCTTTTGGGAAGATACCAAGAAGAAGAATACCTAGGTCAAATAGTACCTCTAGTCCTAGGTTTTGAGGAATCTTCACATTGATTTCCACAGTGGTTGCACCAGTCTATACTCCCAACAGTGGAGAAGGGTTCCATTTTCCCCACAGCCCCGCCAGCATTTGTTACTGATTGATTTGTTGATAATACCCATTCTTTCTGGAGTGAGATTGAATCTCAGTGTTGTTTTAATCTGCATCTCTCAAATGACCAGTGATGTTTAACATTTTTTCATGTATTTATTTGCCATTTGTACTACTTCTTCTGAGAAGTGTCTATTCATTTCAGATGCCCATTTTTAAATTTGTGGGGTCTGATTTTTTTTTTAATTCTTTATATATTCTAGATACGAAGGTCTGAAGAACAGTTGACTTTTTTTCCCACTCTCTGTGAGTTGTCTTTTCACTCTGTTGGTGATTTCTTTTGCTGTGCAAAAGAGATCCCAGTTTCTTGATTCTTTGTAGTATTTCCTGTACACATATGTGTAAATATCACATTTACATATGTGTAAATATCTCTTTGCTGTGAGAAACTGAAAGTATATATAAGAACCAAAGTGTGTAATAGGTATTGTGAAACAGGAAGTAACTGTTCAAAAGGAAAGGGGAATTGGGGGGGTAAGATGGAAGAGAAAAGAAAAAATGAGGGGAAAAAAGAATAAAATGGAAACAAAGTTAAATAAATAGAGGAAGAGGGGTAGAAGAGAGGGGAGGCGAAAGGGAAAAAGAGGAACTAAGATACATCATGTTCAGGTACAATATTTCCTATGATAAATATAATCATTATGTATATCTGAATGGTGGCAATAAACTTAATTTATCTTTTTTTGGTTTTTCTCCAGTACCGGGAACCGAACTCACGACCTTGCACTTGCCAGGCAGGCGCTTTTGAATAAACTTAATTAAAAAAATAAAATAATACAGGTTTATGAGAAAATTCAGTGGCAACTAATTTTAACTTAATGTTTAATATACAAATTAATAGATAATTCTGTTGTTTTTAAATTATTTTAAAATTGTTAATAGATATAGTATATTTATTTTATGTTGCATTTATTAATGTGTGCATTCTAATTAGTATTCTTTTTTCAGTTAATATTTTTCTACTCTGTGTTTAATGCATCAACTTAGTTTTCATGCCCTTGCAGTAGAAGTATCAGTAGTAATATTGCGATGATGATGATGATGATGATAGCTGACACTGATGAAGTGCCAGGCACTGTACTATTCAGTGCACGTTGTCTCATCTAACAATCATAAAATTTTGTGTATTATAACATATTTATCCATTTTGAATATTTGGAGATAATTCTAACTTGATATTAATATTAAAATCGACTATACCATGTAAGTATTAAAAAAATAACTTAAATGTGAAAGAATATTGTTTTCTTAGATTTCATTACTTATAGCAGAATTAAAGAGTATGAATAGTTTTAAGACTAACCTACCTAATATACCATCTGTCCTCCCTCAAAGTAATACTACTTTGAAACTGATGTTTGTCATTTCCATACATGGCACAGGCTGACTAATATCTGTATATCTGTCTATAGTATTTATTATAGTTTTGGAAGTTCTAAGACTTTATATGAAAACATTATGCAGTGCATTGCCTTCTGCGACTTCTTCTGGAAATTCTACACTCCTTAGTACACAGCAACAGACAGCAGGGCACAAATCAGTGACTTTGTGGAACACAGCCC